CATAAGTGAAATTGAATGGAGTGTTTTTCAAGATCAGACAATTTACACGATGTTTCCGGATCCTTTCATACTCAAGCAGTTTGAGAAATACTCTAAAGTGTCACAGTTGTTTGATGCGCTTCATCAACTGTTCCATCGAAAGAACCCATCAAATGTCATGAACACTTACATGCGACTGCTACAATTCAAGATGAAGCCAGATACAAGAATTCAAGACCATATTAATGGCTTTGAAAATCAATTGATGGATCTCCGGAAGATGAGAGAGTAACTTTCTGACATAAAGAAGTCAATGCATCTTTTCAACTCATTGCCATCTACCTATCAAACACTATCAAAGATTTTTCATCATCGTCAAAACACAACATTCGCTTACAACGAGGTTGTAAGTGCACTTTTGATGGACACAATAGAGTAGAAAATGTTATACTCCTTCCATCTCATCCACTTTTGGGACAACACTTATTATAATACAAGGTAAATCACAATCAAGAAATATCAATGATTCACGGCATTGAAGAAGTAGAGATCAAAATCTCTTAAGCCAATGAGAGTCTAGTTTATGGCTCAGCCATTTGCCAGAAAGAATGATATTTGTTGAAGATGTGGTAAGAAAGTCCACATCATGAAGTATTGTTAGATAACAAGTACGGTCTTCCCTTAAGTGGCGAACGTTGCGGAGCATCTTGATACAAAGGAAAACGATTTGTACACAAACGGTCTTTGATGCCAAAAGTATGGCCTCTGCAGTTCACCAAAAGTTGTCGGTGATGTATGGATTTTAGACAATGTTTGTTCTTATCACATTTTTACATTAGAGAATTCTTTTTTACTCTATCCGTATCAAACGGTTCAATTCTTATGGGAAACGATCAACCTTGTAGAATTGAGGATGTTGTATTAGTACAGATTCGTATGTTTGATGGTATCAACCGTACGTTAATCCATGTTAGATTTAAATCTAACGTGAGAAAGAACTTGATTTCTCTTGAAGTGCTAGACTTACACAATTTAGAGTGGAATTCTAGACGTGACGTGTTAGATGTCATATCATGTGATACGAAGTTTATTCTTCCAGGGATACAAGAAAAATCTGTATTTTGTAGAGGATATCATTATTTGTGAAGAAATTAACTTTACTTTATCTCACGTTGAGATGTATCATGTATGGCATTCTAGATTATGCAATATGAGCGATCGATACATGTCTCTTTTTGATGAGAATAAGTTGTCACCAGGTTTGGGTATAGTTGACTTGGCATTTTATGAACATTTCATGATGGAAAAATAGCGTATGCGAGCTTTTGGCTCTGGAAATTATAGTTCCATGGAGATACTAAAGTATGTACATAGAGACTAGGTACCTAATTGTGTTGCATTACCCTTCAAAAGTTGTACTATGTATCTTTTATAGATGATTACTCCACATATGTGTGGATATATTTTTTTTACCCTTAAGTCTAAGATCTTTTCAACCTTCAAAAGTTGGCGCATACAAGTTAAGACTCAGACATGACACAAGATGAAATACCTACGATCAAATAATGATGGTAAGTATACTTTTGATGAATTTCAGAGATATCGTATAGAGGAGTAGATTACTAACCATTTCACGACGGTTTATACTCCACAACAAAAATCCGTTTTTCAAATATCAAATCAAACATTGTTGGAATAGGTGTGGAGTATGCTGAGCAAATCAAGTTTACGAGGAGAATTTTGGCCCAAAGTTGTCAACATCGCAAATTATTTGGTAAATCTTTCCACTTTTAGTGCAATCAATTTTTCAACATCGTTTAAACTGAGTCATAAACGGAAGGCGTATTCTAAATGCTTGAAAATTTTTGATTGTATTGATTATACTCTCACACGTAAGAAACATATAACTAAATTAGATCCTACATCCAAAAAATATAAATCTTAGATATGTTAGTGGAATGAAAGGTGACAGACTGTGGGATCCAATAGGCCGTAAGATGGTGTTTAGTAGGGATGTTTCTTTCAATAAGCCTAGCTTATTGAAAGAATTTTGAGTCTCCGCGTGTTGACAAGTGGAAAATTTTATTCACAATGTTGTTATTGGGGAGTTTGATCATTCTATCACTGATGATCTGTCACAAGAAGAAGCACCGATTGAAACCATCTTTAATTAGTTAGAACTAAAGTAGAAATTACTCTAAATGTTGATATAGATACTTTAGCGTGCATTAGTCATGACTCTCATGTCAGCAATCTGCGTGCTTGGTAGGTAAAGAGTATGTGTGTTAGTTAACAACACCAAGTCAACAATCCGTGCGCTTGTTAGGGTTATCCGCCACGTCATCCATCCACTAGATGTGAGATGTATGGTGGGAAAAAGATTTTATTTTATTGTATTTGTTGATGATAATTATATAAGTGAGAGTAGAATCATTGTTGATATTTAACATCTTCAAAAATTATATTTTCATTTTCGAGTCAACTTCTCTATTAACCTTAGTGTTACAATAGTATCAGAGTTAAATTTTTTATTATTAAATTTTGACTTGCTATATATATACCATACTTATATTTTATGAATATTTCAGTAAAATTTTAATTAAAAAATATTTTTTATTATAAAAATTATCTTACAAATAACGTAATTTTTTATTCCTTAATGCATATATTATCACTTTACATTTTTCAAATAAATGAACTAAAATAAAATTATTTGTAAATTATTTTGCATACGGGTGTTATTGAAATCAAGTATTTCTGATATATAAGTTGTAAAATCAATATTTCAAAAAAAATTAACTATGATTTTCATTGATTTAAACAATAATAATTTGAATAATCGCAAAAAACTTTCTATGTTTTAAGAGATAATACCTTTCAAATAAATAAATATAGGCTATTTGATTTTTAAAATTTTACATTTTTTGTATTAAAAATTTTTTAATTAATTTTATTTTTTAATCTTGCAAAAATTTATATTATAAAACACATGAAAAGATCTTTTAATACCAAACAATTATACTCTTATTTTAAGAAACCAGTCATTAAAAAATCTCAAATTAATGCAAATTACATCACACAATAAAATATTTAAACTCGGCAATTTCTTAGTTCAATAAAAATTTAGTGATAAGTATAGCTTCTGCAAAATTTAATGTAAATAAAAACATCAAAATGTTCAATTTTATCAAATTTAATATGAAAACATATATTAAAATGATTAAAAAATTTGTTAAGATCTAAATAAAACATATCATCAAAAAATAGCTAAATCAAATGTTTGTATAGTATTAGAAATTTTTAGAATTTTCTTGCATTTTAAACATTGCTCATATTTGACTGATTTTATGTAAAAATTTTATACATTAAAAATCATAATATACGTTTACAAAAGATATAAGATAAACTGAAGTAAATGTTTTCCCAATGAATCTTTGCCACTTGATTTATGATAGAAATCTTTTAAATTCAGTAATGCATCATATGAATATTTTGAAAAGAAAACATTTTTTGAGTTTGATTCCAGATGATAAGTGTATGAAATAGCAAATGTTTTACCTGATGAAGAATTTTTGATTCGTTAAAAGTTTTTGAAAAAACAAATTTCAAAAGTGAAAAAAATTGCTAATTTATCAAAAATAAAACCTAATTGTATCATGATGATAAAGAAATAGTGTAGTGATTTTAGTGTATATACATCCAACACACACCCACACAGTTTTAGTGATATACACCCAAGAAATGTCACACTATACGCTGTGCACCTCTGCTACGCAGTTACTTGGGTGTATAGCGTGACATTTCTTGGGTGTGTGCAGTTTAAACTGCGTGGGTGTGTGTTGGGTGTATGTACACTAAAATCAATATCACAGTAAAGAAATAACAATAAATTAATCAAAGTTTCATCTTATGTGATACTTGCGTTGATTTGATCAAAATGAAAATAGCATATGTAGGTAAGTTTTTGGATTCAAAATTGTACCAATATGATGATTATTAAAGTTTCAAAATGTACTATTTTTGGTTATGTAGGATGATGAAGGATATGAATGGTAACAAAGATTATCAGGTGAGTAGAATTGAAGATATTGATAATCTTATACATCTGAAATTGAATATTCTTTAAGTTTGAATATATGTAGGTAAAAGAATATTGACATTGTAATTTGAAAATGTTAATGAAAGTTACCACCACCATCAAGTTACCAACACTTTTGTATGTTTGAATAGATCAGATAAGTATAGGAGGCTAAAAATTGCAAAACCCATGTCGATAACATATGTATGGATGTTCTTAGATAATTGGTTAAAAAAAGGAAAATTTAAATACTGACGATGTTGATGAACGTTGTTCCTGGAAAACTTTTTGTAGGTTTATTTAATAGATTAACAACCAAAAATCAATGTTAAGTTTGGATGAAATTATATGAGCCTTCTTGCAAGCAAACCCACGTGTTATTCTCAATGATGTGTCAAAATTTCATCCATCATTCTTCGCATTCAGACTCTACAACGGATTTTCTTCAGGATTTCACAATACATGCACATGGTAATAATTGATGTTCAGGTTTCCACTACAGAGACTTAGGTCTCTCATTCTCATGCTGTTTTCTTCAAGCCACAAACTCATACACCAACTTATACACCACCACAAACCCATACACCAAACTCAAACAAATACATTTGTTTACAGCAGGATTTATACCAGATATGTACACGAATACTCAATTACGGTTAATTCCAAACAAAGGGCAGGCAATTCGTTCTTCCTCTAGGACGAACACAAATATGAAGAGGGCGCCCCTTTCAGAATAACATATTGAGGAGGAGTATGTGGCAGCTTCTGGAAAGTTCAGACAGATGCGGGCAGTTTATCCTCTCCCATGAGCAGGCCGCTGCTGGATTGCAGATCCAATGGCCGCCACGTTCTGAGAGCCCGGATTACAAATCCTGTGAACCAGGAGAATTTTTCCACCCGACGCCGTCTGCTCTCCTCGTAACGTCTCCCTTGTTTATCCATTACTGTGATCGTCGATAGCTGCCCGGAGATTTCGCGAACAGAGCGTGTAGGTTTCCCTTTGCTCGAAGCGAAGCGAGGAGTCTGCACTACGACGACAATTCTTCGCGGAATTTGACAGATATTGGAATTGGTGCGGGTGTCATGGCAGCCATGGTGAATGCGGTTGCAACCACCAGACATTCTTCCGTAGTTGCAGCTCCCCTGTCGAGCGCAGCTGTTCGCTCGTCCTCCGCGTCTTCTTCCCTGGGTGCGTTCATTTTTTACCGTCCTGGAGCTCCATTGTGTGTGTGGTGGATTCTTTTGTAAATTATACCGTGGGCGCTGTAGATTATATCGCAGAAGGCCCCGAATTTGGCTGTGAAATGTTCGTTAGCCGGAGAACGCTCAGGGATGCCCGTCGTGTGGTTCTGTTTTAATTTATCAGCAGCCACCGATAGCGCAATCAGTCTTGCCTTTTATTTGAATGTGCGGAAATGAGTTCTGGCACGTCCTTCAGTATTCCGTGTCGTTTATTCATGCCAGGTTTTTCTGTGGACTTTGTTCCGAGAGCTGCTTCTATGTGCATGCAATTTCGCAGCTGGAATATGACCACGTGAGGAAGAGGACGTCGTAGATTGGAGACCTAATTTTTTTTTATTTACTGTTTGACACGGGCCCGAAAGAGTTGAGATGCTGTCAAGTAGATGAGTGTTGATGGGTTTTGCAATTTTGCTTGGTAGACTCAAGCAAAAATTCCATGCGTATGAGAATCTTTCTCTTACAGAACAAAAAAACCTTGATTTCTTATTTCACTCTTCTTCGCCGATAATCTGTCATGTCGGCGGGCATATCATGCTCTGTGTTAGACGTTCGCAGAAGCAACAGTTTGCTTAAGGTGGCAATGTGAGGAAAATGAATCAATTGCATCCACTTTAGTATGAAGACTTTGCCGGAATCACACCTTCTTCTCCACACCGTCTCAAGTTGCCTACAGACACCCATTTGACTTCAATCTTTGACTCTACGTGTATATTGAATGTACTGGAGCTGAGGGCAGACAAGCTTTTTTCTCAATCTGAAAAATCTCCGTTGCAATCTGCAGCATTTAAAAGTTGTACTAGATCGTCCCCAAAGTTGGTGGCGAGACGTACTGCAGTTGTGCGCGCAGCTGTTGATGTGTCTAAGGTGAGTGCCTTGAAGAGTTCTGCATCCGGATGGCTATCTTGTACCCACTCCCTTTTGGTGGCCAGCAAGTGTTGTCTACGGCGTGACGGAGATAAAGAGCCTCCGTCCTAGAGCCTGCAGTGTGGATAATCAGCAGTTTTGATAAACTGGTCAATTTGTCGAGGTTGCTTAGATACCTGAAAAGTAGTTCTTTGTTTCTGTGGTATTTCTGATTAAAATTGTATTTGATAAAACCTTGAGCAGATCGTTCCCCAAGCTGATAGGATATTGATCAAGCTCGAAAGCCTCGCTGAGGTAATATCTCGCCCCAACTCTATTGTCTCTGTTTCATGATGTGTTAACTGATAATTCTATCTAACTTATAAAGTTAGATAGAGTCATGGGCATGTGGATATTACACCGTAATGACACGCTAAAGGCTGGATTCATGATCAAGTGAAAAATAGCTGGGAGGTACAGACTGGCAAACGTCGGAAGTGAGTTTGGAATACACACTTGGTGACACTGTAGATTTCGGGTAGAGTACGTCCTGCCTCTGCTATGTGCCAACAACATTATACACGGCCCATTTGAGACACTCTACTTTCTCTACATTAAGAGGGGCTAAGTTTGAAGTGCATGTTCTGTTAGTCTATCTTAGTAGTTGTTAAAAGGTCTGCTAAAGATAATAAACTTATCTTCATATGCACGTTTCGGCCCTTTCACACTTGCTCTAGTTGGTCCGGCGGATCACTCTCACTAGATTATACACGCCGTGGGATGAGGGCTTCTTACAATGGATTTGTCTCTCTGATTATTCTGTTTTTTCATGTCATCTAGCGGATTAGATTACTTTCAACCCGTAAGAAATTTGAGTAGTAAGGTAGACTACATCTGATGAAAAAGAATGGAACCTGCTTGAATGCAGACAACGTCAGGTGGGGTCTTGCTTCCAAAGTCTGCTGTAAAATTTGAACGGTATCTGCTCGGAGAGGTGACGGCCTTTATCCCTTGTCTCGTGTTTACCTAGTTAAAAAACCCGTCTAAATTCATGAAAGCAAGCTTGTGCTTGACGTGCAGTGTACATTTTTCCTCGTTTCCATATCTAGTGCTAGTCTTTGATATGGAGTAAGTCGTTGTTGCATACATGCAATTCAACATAAAACATGGATTCATGGAACCAATGCTCGCTGGCAACTGCAGGTTCTGGCAGTGGGAGCTGATGTAAAAAATACCGAGAAGGGAAAGAAGGTAAACTTTTTCTTAAGTTTTAGCCGTTACTAGCATGGAAGTCCGGTGCAGTGGTTGCAAGTGGTTGCGGGCCATGAACGAGTTCGCACAACTGACCTTCGTACTATTCTGATTTTACAGGTTTTGGTGGCTGACATCAATGCTTATGAGGTATACGCGCTTAACATACGGACATAGTTTACGAATTTGAATCTCAGTTATCAAATTGCTGTCTTTTTACGTCTGGTGAAATTTTTCTCCACAAGACGAGGAACAATAAAGATTTATCTAGTGTAGAATAAATGAAGATATTTTAGTATTTGAAGGATGTAGTCTTGTATGCGTGTTTGTGCTCTCACATCTCTTGGCTCTTGTACAGGTGAACCTAGGGACTCTGGAAAAGTTATGCTTCGCGCGAGCCTCCGACCTGCTTGCAGAAGTACAGTAAGAAAAAGTTATGCACCGTCCAACGCTCTTTTTGTAGCTTAAGTGTTCCATGAGGCGAAGAGGTCGATGAGGAGAAAGAGATTAGCATTGTATGTCCCAAAATAAGGGTGTAATAGCAGGAACCGCGTAAACACGATATATGACCACCATTGCCTAGGTAGAAGCTCTATTCATGGTTTCAGAATATTTTTTGGCGTATATCTCAAAAGGAAAAAATTTCGAATGTTTCTGGGACGGGGATGACGATTGCATTCACTCAAGTATGCCTGGTATTCTTTTAACAAATAGCTCGTCCACTGCAACAATATTCTGGGATATGTATATTGGGTTGTCTCTTTAGGCCGTAAATCCGTTTAGGATTTCGAATTTCTGATACTGGATCATCAGGTCGTAGATCGAAAGACCTGTCTTCTTTCTTCGAATACCGAATCCAGATGCTTGTGATAGATGTTGTCCGTACTTGCTATTTAAAGTCAATCCGAAATTGATACCACAATTACCGGTCCTTGAAAGTAATTGCTATTCCAGTCTTTTTTAGTTTTCAATTGGCAAGAATGACTCAGGCGTTCTTTCCCAGCTGACCTTCTTAGACGTATCTCAACCGGGGAAGTCTCGGTTGCCAATGCGTGATCGGAGTATTTGACAAATTCTTATAATGCAATGAAAATCTTAGGAGAGGTAATTTACCATTCCAGGACTCCTGTCCCAACAAGGAGAGGAAACTCTCAATGACTTGAATTGAACTGAGCCCATAACCAGAAGTGCCGCAATAGTTAACGGTTACCGACTAAATCCTAGTCAACTTGTTGTCGACCTGACGAAAATGGTTGTAAACCCTCAGGACATTCCAACCTGACTTGCTGTTCAACCCCGAGAGCATAATCTGGTTGTCACTGCCAAACCTGGACGCAACACTTTCAACCAACGTTGTTCCCTGAATACCCTCATGCCCGTACCAGCAAATTGAGGTCCCTTCGAGTAAGTTTCAGACTGCTCACACCGTTGTAACCACGGTAACGGCATTTGAGGTTTGTCGAAAAAATTAGCAGCTGTGAAAGGTAAATGTACATACTGCACGCACCACGTTCGCGTCGCAGGGAAAAGCATCCATATCACACGGCTGTAAAATGTACACACCAATTGTTTATTGGAGGCGTCGACAATACTGTATTGGAGGTGTCAACCAAAACCAATACGTCCTTCCAACTATACGAGACATGACAACTCATACACTGATTTTTTCAAAACTTCTGTAATTTAATATCAAGGAGGCTGAGACAACAGATACAGGGTGGCCACAAATTTGACACACAAGGAGAACAGAGTATATCCGGAAAGAGGAATGTTAAAATAAAAGAACAATTATAAAAGAACAATTAAAATCTTAGTGTTAAAATTGCAAGTGGATTCTGTAAAAACTGCTCTGTGATAGGATCGTATTTATAAAATGAACTTAATGGTATCATTTTTCTCATCAATTGTCTCAAATTAATGCAAATTATTATGAGTAATAATTTACAATAATTATGAAATTTCTACACAATGCATAGTTTCTATCAACCGTAGACCCCCAAACTATTTATGTGGTATTCTAAAAATTCTAACACTTCAATTACGAATCAAAATACTTATAAAAAATATAGTGAGAATACATCCAAAATAATATCAATGATTTTGAGATTTAAAAAAAGTATAAAGCCTACAACTTAATGGATTCAACTCATGGACTTCACAAGGTTCTTGCAAGTAAATGTGTAAAATCATACTAGCCATGCCAACATAAAAACTTTATGAAGTGACAGTAATCAAGCTGGGTTAATTCACCAATTCCACACATTTTGTCAAAATTTCTGTAATAAATACCTTTATTTCTTGCAAGAAAAACTTTGCATCTATTTTTTAGATGTATATGACATATGACTATTCAAAAAATTTAAATCTATTCTGTTATTTGTAAATCAAATTTTGATATCGGCAATTTTTTTGAAAAATTGCTGAAAATCATCAATCTTAAATCTTAAGCATTAATCTTTATGCATCATCATTAAGAAAAAAATTCAAAAATAGAAAAGTTAAATAGTTTATATTTAGTCAATGTTGTTATCAACGATACTTTAGCCTTATCCATTTACTGTCATTCTCATATTGAAGGAAATTAAAAAATTAAATCAAATTTATCACCACAACGAAATTTTTTATTTTTTTTTTTCAAATTAAGAATTATTTTAGGTTTATGAATTGAGATACTCCATGCAGATAAGGATATCAGTATGGACTTGCGTGGAACTTGACTTTTGTATCAGAATATATTCTACATCAAAAACTAAAAGTATTTTTTCTATACTTAAGGACTAATCAATCAAGCTGATTTAATAATTTAAAATAACCTTCGTAAAATAAACTTTTGATGTTCATGTGCAGTGCTTAAAAAAATTTTCTGTTTTTTACTCCTCAGCATTTTGAGAAGAGGGCTGAGTAATAAATAAATGAGTAAGATAAGTTTAATATTAATTTTGAGTAAAAGGATAAATAATATGATTTTTATTACACATAATGCCATATTAAAGATCTTACACCAAAAATTTAAAACTGTTCATAAAATTTCACTGTGAATATTTTCTCAACCTATGACGACTATCCTATACTCGTATATTTCTTTAATTTGGTTTGACCGCAGACAAATTTTATTTACTTGCATCATCCTACACTATCAAGAGAAAAAGTCACTATTCATAAATTTAAAATATTTTGGAAGAAATCTAGTCATAAAACTAGATCTCTACACCTTTTTTTCTGCAAAATGAACGATTCTTTGTCTCTAAACTGTATATATATATAATAAAAAAAATCATGAAACTTTAGAAGGCCAGCAATGAATTTGTGGGTGTTTTATCAATATGTCCTAAAATGCATATTTAGTTTCACATGCATGCAGTTTATATGCAGATATATAAGTACAATCCAGATACAAAAATCCATAGATGCAATATTGCTTCCATTGATAATGAGACATTAAAATCCAACTATACTCGAGATGACATGATTTTCTTAAAACAAAAAATTATCTGAAATTATTTGGGTGAAACATTTTTTGTATCAGATTCGTCGTTGTAGTCTGTAGTAAAAATTTATTTTTTAATATATGTTTTTAAAAATAAATAGGTATCAATAGCGTAATTTAAAAATATATTTCCCCGGCTTGATCTTCTCCTTATTACTGATATTCTTGAGTACCAAGATTGATCTATGAATTCTGATAATGATTATAGCAAAATAAAAAAATCCGGAACAATTTTTTTTTCTCATTCTGAAATGTTTTGCCATTGATTTATTTCTTGAACAATGACGGTTGAAAGTAGTCACGAGGTTGATATGTATGTCATACGTTTGGAAATTAAACATATATTAATAATAAAAAATAATTATAAATGGCTTTCAATTTGACTTAGTTTCAAATGCACTGTCTCCGTGATGCAAAGAGACATAAAAACACCATATAAAAAAATCTGGAGATAAATTTTTTTTACCAATACTTCCTTTATTGTCATATTTTGAACTTCAATGAAGTGGAAGTCAATGTCAATTGCATCAAGAAAATTGTAAAGGATCAAAAGGATTCAAGAGTGGAAAGCTAACTATGTTGTGATATTTTTTAAACTTTTTAACCTCAAAGCCACAAAGTCTATAATTCAATGTCTGATTTGTAACGATGAAAATAACGACTTCGAGTATTCATATTTCTTATGATCTCTTATTATAAAGTTAAGAGATCAAATTTACTTTACAAGCCAGTTTTCTGATGAAACAGGTGTGAAGAAGGAACAGGCCTAGACTATTAATAAGGACAATAGAAGATAGGGAAGAGGAATTATAATTTCTAGTCAAATGGATAGAAATAATCTCACAGCAGATAGTTTACGGCCGGAGATCAGATGTAAAGTTCATTACCAGTTGTTTGGAAAAAAGACGGAAAACGATAAGTTTCTCCATGTTGCTATGAGTGACTAAGAGCAAGAGTCATCCTTCTGTCACATAAGAGGTATATATCATTAGGTAAGCCTTTTCCAGCGCTCAAATGATCATCCATGTTGGGCATGTCTAACATACATATGCAAAGTCATGATGATAGGAATGCAAGTAATCATAGGGGTAATATCACAACTTATACCACCTGAGGAGTTTTCAACACTCAAAGATAAACCTCCCAATAGTGACGTACATTGGTGCTAGGGTTTTAAGTCATTATTGGAAGGTGTCACTCAATCGAGGTTGGGTAGCATATAGAGGATCATATAGAAGCACTTTTTTTGCACGTTTAGTGAATTCCATAGATATTTAGCGGATCATTTGGCGGACATACCATTATTAATGACTTGTTTTCAAATTCAAATATCCAATTGTCTTAGTAAATGTAACCTCACGTCGCCAAGGTAAAGTGAGCAATAAATTGAGTTGAGAGTTATAAATTGTGGAAAGTGAGAAAGCAAAGCTGAGGTCTCTAATGTAAATTAAAGTTATAAATGGTGAATTGTGAGTAAACAAAGAAAAGAAAATTCAAAGAGTAATTTGTGTATTTTCTCACATGTAAAATGGTTGAAATAACAAAATGAAAATAACTTAACATGAATAAGAATGGACGGGGTTGTATGGTGAAATTATGTGGACAAATAAATTTTAATAAATCGAAGTCAAGGAAGGCCTAGGCAGCCAAGGGGAATCAAGGCATGGTACGTGGTGTGGTTACACTCCATGTTAGCGGTGAGCAGGAAGCCAAGTCAAAAACCTAGAGTTGGGTTGGAGTAAGAGCAATAAAGTTCAAATTTTATTTTATTTTTAAATTAGAGTTGGAACCATCACTATTAAACAGTAGCATGCCACTATTGCCAATACCGCTCTTATTGAATAGATTTACAAGTTATCCAATAACTTGTAAATCTAATGGTTCTTGAGTTCTATGTCATTAATAAAAGGTGACACTATTTGGATATTTTAACTCTGTATTCGAATTAGCTATTTGAATCTTTACAGCCATTATTGGCTATTGATAGTCTTCCATCCAGTCTCCATTCATGGTTCTAAGCAATGACATCCACATTTGATAGCTACTATAATCGAAGCAAAGCACTTAAAGACTCCAATTTTCTTTCTTTTTTCGGTCCCAAACTGCCTGAGGCTAGTCCTATGAACACCATCGCTTAGAACCGGACAATTATGACCTCAATTTGATATAGTTACTATCACATGTAATCTGTAACGTACCGAGATCTGCGATTGGAGTCAGAAGTCACAGCAGAAACCAAGGTTTCAAAAAGTATGTTTAAGGAGATTCAGGGCCCCACACACAACACACACCGAAGAAAGCTTTCCATGCCAGTGCATGTAAAGCTTTATGTGGTCACTGGATAACGTCCTCAGTAGATGTAAATGACAATCAGCAAGTTGAAATTTTTAGGGAGAAAATTCGATGATTCCATATGAATCGTTTTCTATCTTATTTACCAAAATTTTCAGTTATCTATGAATTTACAATCTAAATCTGCAATGAGATTTTCAGATATGAGGGAAGCTAATGAAGGAAGCTGGACGCTCCAGAGCTGCTGATATTGTTTGCTATAAGATACGCGCGCACCTCTGAGATAGGGGGCTCGCCTCCGACGGCATAAATGGGACCAAGGCCAAATTTAGTGAAGTGCACCTCGATACTTCAGTATTGTGTACTCCACGAGCGTAGAGCGGTATGCGTACATTCTGATCACATGGTCGTTTCTCTGTATATCGTAGTCTTCCATGCTTGCAGGAGTTGCCATTAGCTTTGGGACACAGCCGAGGTAAAGGGTACGGTAAGTCCACTTTCCGCTGTTGCCAGAATCTGGATTCTTAGGGACTGCAGTAGCTACCTCCAACTCCCTCGCAGACGGAATTATGGACGACCATCAATTCATGTCAGGTATGACAGATCCCTGAGGGCCACATGTTTTCCCTTCAGAATGGAAGAACTCATTCCACTGGGATCTGCATGACATTTGCTGCTGGTCTCTGCCACCTGAGCGAGTATGTGCCACAGACGAAGAGGCCTGGCCGACTCCACCATAGACGCCGGAAAAGCCACTGCTCGCACTGCATAACAGTTGGAGCTCCCATGATGACAGATGCCCCTTGGTCCTCGAAGAATTCTCGGAGACGTCGGGCTGCCCGTCACTGCTCTGTAGTATTATCTCTGACAGAAGCCACTTGCTTACTCCAAGTCTACGTTACCGGCGCTGCATTCATTCATATGTGCTAGACGGTTGGCTCCTCTAGAATCAGTTATGTTCGGTCGGTGAAACAGGGTTCACGTATTTCGACCCTCTCTCCACTTCAGGATTTGGACTTACATGAATTGATCGATGAATATAGCGGCTGTGTATCCGGTCGTTACTGGATCTGGTTCCAGCAACTAGACTCCTTGATAAGATGGTTCATCGGGACAGGCTGTGATTCGTTTATACCTACTCCGGGTGTTCCATCATACTCCGGATGTTTCAGCAACTGTAGTTTGTATGATGGAGTAATGTGCATATCTTGACCTCTGGGCAAACGCACTTTGCTGGTGTCAGGGGGACACTTTAGTTTGTGTAGAGCAGAACTGGATCCTGAATGCTCGGAGCCCTTGCAAAAGTCTTAGGCATGCGGGTGAAGATGATAGGATGGAACGACAAACAATTTGATGCCTCGTTTGAACCAAAAACTTGCCATTTTTGAACACGATTCAATGTATGCAGCAGTGGAAGCTTTCAATTTATGCTCCTAAGAGAGTCTATCGAACATAAAGTAAAATGAAATGGCATTCTTCTCCGCTTCGTGTTTCACCCCTATGCCTTCCTCTTCCTCACAGTCCGTAGACGAACCCCAACTTTAACGCCGGGTTAGCTCCTGACAAAGAGAGATGTGTTAGGGTGTCAAGTCGAAGTATCGATGAGAGTCTAGCCTCGAGTCTCGCTGTAATGATTAGCGAAACGTATGGGCCGGGATCGCCATTCAACTAGCCATAATATTCTCGAAGGCCGACTAGTAAAGGCCGAGGCGACTAATTGAATACGAACTTCGACTTCTGGAATTCTGGACAGAAACAGGACGCGAGGCCGTTGATGTTCTCTTTCAACGTAAGACACTCGAGACCCTGCGCGAAAGGCGAGCTATTGGAATCCCAAGGCATAGAGTAGCTTTGCTCCGATTAAGGGGTGCCAAAAGGCCTGCTGAAATAAGAAGCGCGTCCAGAAGCATTGGTTGTATGTCGAATTCCTCTCTCGTTCCATGAGCTGTGGTCCCTATTCGAGTTGGCTACAGTAGAGAACTAGTGGTTACCAGCGCGTGTGACAGAAGACAAGAGGGCAACCGTTTCCAGTACACCATAGCTGAAATCATCAATTTGTCGTCGTTCTCCCGATATATACAATGCTATATGCATGTCCATGGCGCTACGTTGTGCGCTATAAGGGGTCGAGCTTTTGCTTTTTACCTTCCTTTCGGTTTCAAGAGCGGTCCAAACCCGGGAGCACATCTGGGTGCAAATTTCTGGAGGCAGAGCTTCCTCTGGGCCGACGGCCGCTGTGTGCCGTAAATCGTAGTCAGTAAAAAGAAAGCTCTATAGATTGCGTCCATAGCTTCGCAGGGTCGAGCAGCACCTCGTACTAGACAGTACAGCTCACTATGGATAGATAGATCAGCGGGACCTTTCTCCCATCAGGCCAAGGGCTCAAAATTCCATCTTCCTGTCACTAGTGGCTTCGATTTCAGAGGACGCTTACTCCCTGAATTTTACGCCCCTGACCCATCCATCCATCAGCCTACCTCCCTCCTTTTAGGACTAATAATTGTGATGAGTAGCCCGACACCGAGTCTCCAGACTCTGAGGTCTTCGCTGCACAATGATTGTCCGAAATGCAGTCGTACTTATCGGCAGCAGCAGCACCTCTAAGCAGTCCCTTTCTGGGCTCTAATGCTGCGTAAGCCTCTGCAGTGTTAGCTGCGAACCAAAAGGCTCTACAGTTCATGTCGAGCTCCCTCTCTGCTGCCCATGTGCATGGACCGAGTCCGAGCTGCCCGCCGAAGGTGGCGAATCGAAGCAATTACACGGATTATTTTTGCCGCGACAGCACAGTTGCATCTCCGGATTCTTCGAACATGTGCACGTATGTGCAATGGAGCTGAGCTGAATGTAGATGCGATGAGATCGCTCGATTCCTTAAAGTCGGCTAACTAAAGCTAGAGCTTATGCACCAGACTATGTAAATGTAGAGTCTGCTATGGCACCGGTAAATTTCTGGGCATGGCAGGTGAATGATGTGAGAGAAAGCTTGGTCTGGACGTTCAGGGCTTCGACAAGTGTTACGACCAGACCGACGTCAGCTACGAGCCTAGTGCACAGCGCTGAGCCGCTCTAGTACTCCCAGAGGTGTGTCGAATATGACCACCTCGGCGTTTCTCGCCTATCGAGCGATTTCGGAAGCATCTTTAAGTGCGAGAGTACGAATTTCGTAGGGCCAGAATAATTTCTGCCTAGCAGTCAAACTCCGAGACTGCTGTCATAACAATTTTCTGGTTATTCAACAGCCGATGAAGTTCACTTGAGCTCAAGTCCACAGATTGTTTATCAGGCCTGACCAATGCCGGTTGTTCGATGCGGCGTAACAGGGCTTGACGAAGTCCACCGCTATCGAGCCCCGCCGTCCATATAGGCCATGCACTCGAGCTTCATGTACACGTTACATCAACACGAAGCGCAGCAGCATTTTTGATGGTGTTGACGACAGGATTGCCCAAAACGTTTTTGGCGATTTTTCGATGTGCCCACAATCAGGCGGTGAGATGCCATGGCCTAGGATTAGATTGGTCGGTCGAGCAGATGGATATGCAAGAGAAGACAACCCGCAGGAGAATAACTGCTCTTAAGCTCGCGCGCTCTTCTGATCCAAACAAGCTGAGAGCCGAGCAGTAAAATACAGCCATGGAAAACAGCTCAATGCTGTTCAACATGTTGAAAGCGAAAAGGTTCATCGTGTGGATAGCATCCGAGATCCACCGGACAGATGCTAATCTCCAAACAAGAGCCTTAATGTGAACGAGTTCGAGGTCCTCGCGGCCAAAGTCCTTCGTGAATGCCTGGTTTATTTGGGGTTGACCGCTCTCCCGCTCGCAGGCACCCGAATCTCCAGAAATTTTCCACGACGGCTGTGACTGGACACCCCATGCGTCATCTAGCGATTCAATACGTCTTGACACTGCGGAACTCATGCACATGATTCTTGTGTTCCATCCACCAGCACGTAGCGGTGCTACCAGCTGAATACATACTCATATCCCTCGCTCGCTTGCAGTCATACATCCTACCAGCTCAGCTCTACTCGACTCGACTCGACTCGACTCAGCCGCTGTTTCTCTCGATGTAGGTCAGAGAACGATCAATCGATCGAGCTTCGGGCCACCCAGGGAAGAGAATGCGGATTGCCGATCTCTCCGCGATGATGACGACGGGGACAACTCGGTCCACTTCTGCAACGCAGCCTCGATCCTGACCAGAGACCAGGTGGGTTCATGCTCATGCTCATACGGCTGCAGAATGGGATTGATGGACAAGGCCTTTGGCTCGAGTTGGATTCGCTTCGCTTCGACGGATCAGAATGATAAAACAAGCGTGTTAGTTTGTGCACGAAATTGCCATTTTCAGCAGCTGCTCCGAAATGTATCTCGGATTCAGTATTCAGATCAACGCTGCGAATCGCGTCTGTCTGAATGCGGGAGCGGAACCCATCGGCTCTGCGGCTCGAATTCATTTTTATCTTTCACTTTTTGCTGTCGCCTAGGATTCGAGTAGGCGCGCGCTCCGATCATGACCTGCGCTCGCTCGAGCTGCATCATCTGATCATGCGCAGGGCTAGGCTTAGCTCGAAAAGCCTCGTTGCATTAAACTAAGTTGCGATTGTCCAGGTTGAGCTCGGGGATTTAGAGGCAGGCTTGCGGGGGATGTGCACAATGGGCAGTACTCCAGTGCTGTGCGAGACGTACTGCGAAGCCTACGGAGATTATCTGTACTGCATCTCGGGAGCCATTTCGTGGAGCCAGTGCTTGAGCGGCAGCTTCGACTCGCCGCCCACGTATGGCTACCCGTACTTCAGCCCGCCGACCTTCATCGACGAGTCGGACGCCGACACGGGCGTCGGCAAGAGCAAGACAGGCCTCATCGCAGGAGCCATCGCCGGAGGCATCGCCGGCACTGCCGTCTTCTTCCTCATCGCCCTGCTGCTCTACTGCTACTGCCGCCGCCTGCATCCCAAGCCACGCAAAGGCGCCGGCGAAAAATCGCTCAAGCGCGATGGCGCCAGCTCCAAAGACTCGCTCGCTAGCTCCAAGGTCGTCTCGGTCCGTCACCTCGAAGTGTCCGTTCTGGCCTCGGACGAGACGGTGGTGCCCGGCCATGGACCTGCTTCCGTCGCACCAGGTACTCCATTCATTCTCGAGCTCGACGACATGAATGTCTGTGCATGTAGCTTCGCCTTTCTCGCTGATGTCGATCGGGCCCGATGACAATCTCTCTCTATCTCTCTCACAGGACTCCCCCACTCTTGCGTGGGGGAGTCCTGTCGCTGATTTGAGCTGCAGTGTATTCTTCGTCAATGATTCTCATAGAGAGAGAGAGAGAGCATGTCTGTCGATGGCTTAGAGACTGGGTGCATGCCAGGCCCATTTGCACCTAGCCATGCCGAATCAGACATTCGAAGTGAGTGCTGATTCTCATGCTAGGCAGTCCGGCAGCCTTTTGCAAAACCGGCTGCGGAACCAGATTCTTCTGCTTGTCAACATGGCGAAAGCCTCCTCGCAGCTCTAGAAAGACAGCACGGCGAGATCTAGTGTATGTTCGTCCGTGAGGTTGTCTTAAGTCATAGTGGGAGCCTGTCGGAGACCGACTGCGCGTGCCCATGTTCGGATTCAGGGTCTTGTTGATCTGGTTATAAAGTGCTGTGAGGTGAGATGAGGTGAGGTGAAGTGATGTGATGTGTCGGAGTTTACTGAATGCAGTGACGAAGCCTCGCAAGCAGGCGATGTTCGTGTCGCTGGAGGAGGTGAGGACAGCCACGAGCACCACCAATTACTCTAAGAAGTACCTGATCGGCGAAGGCCGATTCGGGTCCGTATATTATGGACGCCTGGTTACGGGCGACGAGGTGGCGGTGAAAGTGAATTCGTACAAGGGCCATCAAAGCCTCAAAGACTTCAAGAGCGAGGTTCGAGCAAATTTGTTTCAAATGCTGCGAAATACCATTTGCAGACATAGAGTTTCATTTCCATATCCAGCCTAGCATCCTTTGCTTTTCTCGCCCCCAACATTCCGAGGGCCTAGCATTGCTGGCTGCCCAACACACACTCCGTTCGTACGATAACAGGCCAAGCTGATAAGCTGATGGGCATGAGCATGTGCAGGTTTCCATACTGTCGGGTTTGCACCATCCGAACGTGGTGTCTCTGGTTGGATTCTGCGATGAACATCAGAACCGAATGTTGATCTTCGAATTTATGCCCAAGAAGACATTGCGTCACCATCTCTATGGACCTGGTGAGATTCGTCGGGTCGGACTAGGCGCTCCAGTGCCCATCTCACTCTCTCTGCTGGTCACCACGAGACTCGAGCCGATCTCTGCCTGACCTTGGTTTTATTATTCTACTGTACTCGGCTTATGCAGCTTGCGCGCCTCACTGCGTGCGCACTTTCTAGCTTGATTCGGCCCCTATAGGCTAGAGGTCCAGCAGAAAGTGAGGGCCCGTGCGCTCACTTTCTCTCGAGTGTAGGCTCTAGTCATAATCATGTACAGGCCTTTGGTGGGAGCGCTCTGATGCAGCGAGTGACGAGGGCTGTTACAATGTCCCATGTCCACCACAGCTGCAACCGACCCATGTCTTCTGGCAACTCGAAGCGCTGAAACAAATATCGTTTGCTGTGTTGGGTGTGCGGTGCCAGGTCTCAAGGATCCTCTCGACTGGAGAACGCGCCTCCAGGTTGCGGCTCATGCAGCACGTGGTGAGTCTCCACTCCAGCAACTGACCTCAGCTCGTCGTTGCAGCTGGCCACTGGATTGTCCTTATCATTATGCTTCCATCGATCCATGGACCGATCGACATCTCAGCCGCTGCGTCTCATAAGCTACTACGTCGTGCGTCTCGAGGCATCTGAATGAGAATCTTCGGTTCTGAAATCGCCTTCAGAGAAAAATCAAATCGTTCACACTTGCATGGTCTAGATGATTATTACCGGAGAGAATTACAGTCTAGAGATTACGGATTTCTGATCTTGAGAACGTGATTGACTCCACTCGAGATTAGCATATGAAACCAGCACCAACTGGACGTTGAGTATCTGTCGTGCGTGCCCAAAGCGAAGGAAGAGAAGAGGACAATTTGTTTCTTCACTTGTCCGGAAGAGTAGAACATGTCCATCTCGAAACTCACCTGCAGCCATTTGATCGCACTGCAGGTCTCGAGTATTTGCACCACGAATGCCAACCCGCGATCGTTCATGGCGATATCAAAACCAGCAACATTCTTCTGAACGATAAGTATGTGGCAAAGGTAGCTGATCTCGACATCTCCAAACTCGTGCCCGAGGCCTCCTCACCGAAACTGGATAATCGAGAATTTTATCCGCCCTTCGATAGCAGCAGCAGCAGCAGATTGCCGTACTACGACCCTGAGTAAGATAACAGTTATTCTACTGCCCCCGCCCCCACCCTACTTTCCACATCCTTCTACTGTCGTAATGTACATTCTGCACTTTCTGATCTGCTCGACGATCGAAATCAGTTGGGAAAACGGGTGCAGGTCCCGATCGAAGCATTGTTTCCAGCTAGGATTAATTTTCGGCTTCCAGAAAAATCGTTTCCTGGGTCAGGGTCAAGGAGACGTGACGCTGATTTGAAGTGAATTGAATAATGCTATACAGGTTGCTGGCAGGTGATGTGCCGGGCGAAGGTACCGGTAGCAAGCCACGTACCACGAAGAGCGATGTGTATTCTTTTGGTGTTGCACTACTGGAGATTATCTGCGGCAAACCGCCCAGAGATGTCGTGCACCGGTCCAGCATTGTCCACTGGGTAGGCCGCACACATCCATCTGTCCCAATGCATGATCAAATTTGGAATGCTAGACTGAAAGCTCTGCTCCATCGTTGTTCATTCACAGTGTCTAGCAGGTCAGGAGAGAATTTTACCAGGAACCGAATAGTAGATTGCGTAAGCTTCTACGGCGAAACCATTTGTTTATCGGCGCAGCATAGCCTCATGAAGCACGTGTGATGTTAAATACTAACCCCGCCTATGATTTCGAAAACGTCAGCCTGCCATGCCAAACAACGGTCCAATGCATATGCAAAAAGCGAGAATCTCTAGTGGCCGCCATGGCCACCTCCGTAGGTGCATTGCAGAGATTGCTAGATATGGAAAGTAAAAATGCGAGCGAGCGAGTGAGCCAGTGTGTTTGTGTGTCTGGTGGACTGTAGGCTCGTGACATCATCAAAGCTGGCAGTGTGGAGAAACTGGCAGACCCCACTTTAGATGGGACCTACGACATCGATGTACTGTGGAAGGTGGCAGAGCTGGCCATGACCTGCGTTGCACCGCTCGGAATGCACAGGCCAGACGCGAAGCAAGTTGTGGTGACATTGACGGAGGCGATAGAGCTGCAAACCGCAGCTTCAGCTACCGACAAAGCCTCGGTCACGGCCGTAGAGCCAAATCAAGTGTCACCACATGCATCGGATGCTCAAGAACCGCTGCGGGTGGAATCTGGTGCCAGACCTCTTCAATAACAGCGGCGGAATCTAGAACGTAGGCACTTTAGATAGTTCTGAACCGTTCCCTGTGGTTGGTTCACAGTCACTTTATCCACCGAAATCAGTCTCTAATTACCAAAGTTAGAGTTGGAACTGGTGAAGAGGGACTCGGATAATATATTATAAAAGGCCAGCAAATTCCTCGAGCAAGAGGAGGTGGATCGCTGCGTTCTGGTCCAAGACAAAATTAATGGATCCAGGCCTTAGGGAAGCACGTAGCTGCATACAAGACGACCCGATGCAACGGCAACTGACGGAAGTCAGAGCATGTACGCACTGGGCAGTGCAATCTGTGCTAAATGACGACCGTACAGTAGGAGGGCGCTTTTAATTAGGTGTAGCGTCGGGCGTTTCATATAGCACGAGTATACTATGGTTGCTATGCATACGAGGGCCATCCGAATAGATTTTGCATGACAAATCCAATGCAACCATTCGACTTTTGAAACAGATACGGATGAGGTGTGTGTCAATGGACATTCCACTTTCAGATATTTCTACAGCCTCTGCAATAAACGATGAAGATTCTTCTGCTCTGATTCTTCAACTTTGATAAAGCAAATCTATAATTAAAGTACTCATTCTGGTCGTATGATAAAGTTTCGATGTTGGGCAAGTGAAATTACGAGACTCATCACTCATTATCAATCACCAAAAATTAAATTTCGGCTTCGAGAAACTACCAAACTACGAAAACGAACTAAATACTACTCTATGCGTTCAGTGTATAAAAAGATTTGCATATTATAGAGTTCCCCCATAGATGCTAGGTTAACACAATCCTTCTAGCCACACAGTTTAGATTTTCCCAATAGATTCCACGTGACTTTCACACATTGGTTGTAGAATATGATCTTGTGTGGACCACCAAGTATGTTGCGCAGAATGGCGTCTTTCACCCACCTCTATGTTCCTCTTAGTCTCTCCTATCTGTGCCCTCATTCCTTGCAGTAAAACAAGCCTATTGGGAAACATATGAGTGCCAGATAGATCAACATAAACGAACAACAGCTGGTCGTGTTTGAAGGTGGAAAGATCTTTTCTAGTCTCATCGCTGCCGATCGTCACTTGAGCATCCTCGAGTTGCAAACGGTTTATACAATCACAGAAAGATGAGACAGACCTGTGAGACAGATTGTGTAAAAATGATATCGTTCGTCCGTTGGCAATTGAGTCCAGAAGTCACAACTCCTAGGACTGGGCAGCTCCACGATTGGCCGGGTTCTTTCAATGAGAACGACAAGACGGAAGTCATTAAGCGCATTAAAACAACCAGTGGCATGCTTTAGAAAGGTGAGACGGTTATTAAAGTGGGTTACTGGCTGAAACACACGTTTCAACGGTTCATGAAGATCAGATAACGTGAACTAACTAAGTTCAATGATTGAGCCGTGACCTTAGATTTCAGCTTCGTGCAAAAAGTTCGAGATGTGCAAAGTGCGTACTCGGCATTCGATTTCAATGCCTCCGACCGACAGGCTTTCTGCCTTATAGACAACTGGGAGCTCGAGATCGAGCGAAAATGACTTTAGCTTTTTAGGATCTGGGTGCGGACAAACATGTCACAGCGCAGAGGCGGGGATATATGGTTCCAGCGCGGTTATATGGCTCCAGTAAAAGTCCAGTTTCGATCAGCTTCTACTGGAACTCAGTCATGAGGCAGGCCTATTCTCGATCTCATCTGGTCAATAATTATTTATTTTTCACTAGGCCAATCTTCCAGAAAGCAAATTCGCTTAAACGGTTGCGGTATTCCTCTCACAGTTCTGAGATTGGATGCTATAGGGATGACAGATTTGAACTTTTGAATGAAATATCTGAACTTGTGCATTTTATGAAATGTTGAGGAGGTTGAGAAAGGCTTTTAGTGCTAGCAAGAAAAGATATAGAGAAGATATACAAACTTATGAAAAAATTGAAACAATTTTTAAAAATTCCATTTTAAAAAAAGTATTGCTTTTCATAGAAAAATATGGATTTATATCATGATATGTTTTATATATTGCGTTTCCTTGCACAATTTTTCAATCTTAAGATAGTATTGTGTTATGAGATCAGGGATTTTTTAATTTACAAAAACTAACACTTGAAAAATCTAACGGGTATTTTACATAATGCTTGTTTGAAACTTGTTTAAACATATCTTCGGAAAAAGCTGTGACTTTACGAAAAAATACTTCTTCACCTATGTGAAGAAAAGAAAGAGGAGATGCCTAACAAGAATGAGAACTTGTGAGAGGTTCAGGCTACAAGAAAGCGTAGGACATTTACGGCAAGCAACTGAATTTGTCTCCTGATCTTAGCAGCATATTCGTTTTCCTTCTCTAGATTCTCTGCTTTCGAATTTGCTTTCCCGTAGTTTTATCTACTGGACGCTCAACAGTTTCTTTGTAACTTTAAGGATCTGAACAGATGTCTTATCCGTTACATCATGATGCTCCTCTCATCCTCTCCAGCCTCACTCTTCAGGAGAGATTTCAATTGAGAAATTCCTTCCATTTCATCCCCAACAAACTTAGAGATATAATATGCATTTTATACATGAATTCAAAAACTTAACCTGAAACATTTATGACTAGAATTCCTCCTAGTCTTAGAGCTCTAGATTTTTATCCTCGAACATATTGAATTTATTTCAGCTCATATTTATTCTTTCAAACTGAACTGAAATTTCTGAAAGAACAGTTTTTAGAATGTGCTAAGAAATAATTTTTTTACTGATTTATGAGTTCAGAAAACTACATATTTGAATTTTAGATGTTTACATATATGATTCTTTTAAGGTTGTAAAAAAGAGGCTGACATTTCACTAATTTCAAATGTATTGTTGACAAGCACAACTTGTTTGTTTATAAATGTACTCCCAAGTAAACGTATTTTGGCTTCAGATATCCTTCCTGTAATTAACGAAATTGCAACGGTTTCGAGCACCGGACCGTCAAATCAGGCAAATTCTACAGGATGTCAAGCACAACATATTCACGCTTGATATGCAGTTGCCTACAAAGTCAAATCTCCGAGGCCAGTATCAATCGTTTGCTCGGGCGTCAAATCTCCTGATCACGATTATCAAATATCAAAAATCCGGATAAGAAAGGAAGAATATCAGACATACAAGTGACACATGATTGGGGTGTCGGGGGAAGTTTAATATCGTCACCGACACATACACCAAACTTCATTCCAAAGAAACCTGAAGTCTTTCTTGTGATGATTTGGATGACCAGACCTATTTGCAAGACCCATGGGAAAGCATAAGGAGCTGACGCAGGTTGCACCTGACTCTCAGCCAGTCTTCAAATAGCAAGTCCACATGGCTCAACTAGTGTAGTGCAGATTTTGAATTAAATAAAGTGTTGGGGTACTTACTCGACTCCAAGTTTATCATCCTCCTCAGGTAAGAAACTACTGATAGAGTTCAACTCCGGGAGAAGAGGTTTCCCTCAAAAGATTACAATCCGGATTACTATCATCCTCAGCGTCCAAACGAGACATGAGTTTCGACTCCCAGTTAGTATCTACAAAGTAAACGACAGTTTCAGGAAGATTCAGAAGTTTTTCAAAAGTTTTCCGCAACTGATTCAGTAAGGGAATGGAAGGGTAGAACTTTTGCCCGATTCAATGCACTTCAGTGAAACCATGATCTGGGGAAAAGCTTCTGAATAATCTGAAACACAGTTTTCTGAACTGAAGAAAGCATTCAATACTGCTAGCCAGCGACCGTTCATCTAATGCCAATGGGACGGATACTACCCATTCACGTTAGATGTGGCCTGGACTTGACCCAAATGTAGCTGCGGAAACAAGGATTTCAATAACTAGAAACTAGAAACTAGAAACTCGACATCCACTTCAGCTTAGCTACACATGTTCATGTGTAGCTAGACTCCGATAATCTAAGTAACATCCACAAGCAACTAATGTCAAAATATTCATTCAGAAGCAGACCGCGCGGGGAACCAAGTGCAATTCTTCGATGCACAGTTGTCTGAAACTCCTTGTGCTTAAATGCAATATATAAGTAGTATTTAATTTTGTTTGCTTAGTAGTGATGAAAATCCGCATTAGAATCCAAGCGCAAACCCAATTTTACACCATATGGATAAATATTGATATACTACGTCTTTGTGTTGTCATACATCCATTGCAAGAGGTAAGAGTGAAGATGGGCACTTCTATTTTTGCACAAATCATTAGCTCGGGGTCAGCATGAAGGTGGGCTGCTTTCATGATAACTTCAGATTGGTCTAAAATAAAAATTGGAAGAAGATGCACGTTTTTTGTAAAGTTACTTCGGATTCGTCCTCAGGCCTACTGCTGAACAGAGTAGCTATGCACACCTTCAAAACAGAAAATTACATTGGCTTGAAATAGTATCCGACGATACCAAGACCAAGCAGTCCAACATATTATTTCTCACAATGTCGCATGTTTAAGAGGTAAGCACCTAGAGTTTCATTCATTCAACTTGTCGACCCATTCTCCAACTGTTGCTTCAATGACCTTGAGGATGCAAAATCAAAGTCGGCTATCAGTCACTTGCATTTTGGAGCATCATATTGAGTATATACATTTCTTGGTGCAACTCTGAAACAGTGGAGGACTGTGATTATCCTCCTTTGAAGTTGTCAATTTCTGCAGTTGTGAAATTCCTCCAGAATACCTTAGAAGACCAGGAAGACAAACGTTCATTGGCAATGGACATTCTTCATCATCTTCTACGGCGGTCCTACACTACTTCGCAAGCAACGTGCGCACGCCTACACAATCTACCCCAACCTATGCAAGAGCCAGTGCAAGAAGAAGAAGCACATAATGTTGGGTCCAGTTAATCATGGCATTGACCCTGTAGCTGTTCGGAACACACGTTCATCAACCATGAAGCAAAGACAGATTGTCATCCTGATGACATATTATTTTCGCTAGATCAGATAACAATGATAACCTTGGCATATGCACCACACCCACGAGTCGACATGTATTCAACTGCGGTCAATGTTCTTGGTAGATAATGTTTGAACTTGTTGACAATACAAACCTTTTATTTTCTTTTAGGTCCATATGCCGCCGTGATCACAACGACATCCTCCATCTCAGCCTTATGATCTCTTTCTCTTAGCCAAGATTCACACTGACATCAGCTACAATTTCACTGAGTCATTTTCCTCAAAGCAAGGTCAGCAAGAAACATGAAAAGGATACAGGATGTGCATACAGTTTCCCGTTTGAAATGGATACGGCTTTTGTCCTCAAAAACTGAAAGAAAGTAGTCTAAAAAATGAAGTTGTTATTGACGACATAAAATCATTTTCACTTTCTATATGGAAGGCAGTAACCTAAGCTACTTTTCTGAAAGCCATACAACTCATGCACTGCTTGAAATCCACTTGTAAACAAGATTCGAATAATAACACTAAACTTTGGCATTTCGCGCTAAATTACATGCATTCCTTCGGAATGAAAGTGAGCAGTAAAACAAATACTCTGTAATCGCTCTCCTGGCAGCAGCTATTTTTCCTGGAGCATTCC